CCATCTTACAATTGTGATTAAAGGAATGAAATCTATGGCGAATAATGGTTATGGTAAACAATTGTTTCCCTTCAACATTTTTTAACAGAAACATATCCAAACTTATGACAATTCGTGTATATTGAAAATTTTCATAAAAGGGAACAGACTGGTGTCCTCCATAACACAGTTGTTGCATAAAAAGAACGATTTAAGTTTAGAGAAAGAGCTTTGGATATTGTATGTGCATGTTTTTGTCATCTTTTATTAAATCAATCTGCAGCAAAATATAAAACAATTTCAATGCACATACTTTTCACGATAAATGTGTTTAACAGATAATCTGATAAATATGGTTTCACTATAATTTTTTATAAGAAAGTTTACAGACGCATTCAATGTATTGCCCATGCTATATCAGTTTCCCAATGTCCTAATAATTATTTTGCAATGTTTCTCACCTTAATTATTTCATGACATTTATTCTGATAAATGGAAGTTAATCAAATTTGAATAATGATCCTTCATCAGTTACAGCATTGTACAGATGTATTTTACATCTCCGATACTTACTGTTAAGTATCAAATATGGATGAGTTCTACTACAAGTTCGTACAGCTCTACTGATGACCATAAGTCTGTTTATCATTTGAACAAATCAGGTAAAATTTTAGGTTAACAGTGTCTATTGTGATTTCAAACACCTCGTAACGGTCAACCTATTCCTGATGGCGACCATACATTTTATGTCTCGATTTTAGATGTTCTAGAAAGTCAGCTTACTTTAAACAACGAAGCACGTATCGTATCTAGTTAGGTTTGTAAAAGTTACATGACGGGACAATGGATTAGCTTCAGCTAGAAAATTTGAAATTTAGCAGTCAATAATGCTCGGTTTAGTCTTTTTGATTAAACTTTTCAGTAGTTGTTCTTAACCTGTACACGTTACCATCATACTAAATTGTCTCAAAAGCTTCTGTACAGTACTGAATTGACTGCATGCAGATTGTTTGAAAATTTCTTAGGCATTGACCACAAAACTGCAATAGAGATGCGAAAGATACCAAAGGGACATTCAATATCATAAGTCGAAAATAAACGTCATGGCTAAAAAAGAACAAAAGCAACCAGACAAACAACAATACACAAAACACAACATAGAAATCTAAATACTTAGCAGCACGAATCCCACCAAAAACTGGTGGAGATATTAAAACGATAGTCACGTCTATCATAAGTCAGTGTTTGAAGTCGTCCTGTTTTGCCAGTATTAAGTAAAAGATTCAAACACCCTTATAGTCTTTTCGATAAATCAAATATCAAGTTCCAAGGCATATATAGGCAACAGTAGTATACCGCTGTTCAATAGTCATAAATCGATTAAGCGAAAACAAATCCGGGTCACAAACCAAAACTGAGGTAAACAAATCAACTATAAGAGGAAAACATCGGAACAACAGAAACACTGAAGAGAAAACTGAAATAAGGGTAACTGAGTTTATTGAAGGTTCTTTTTCTTTTTGAACAATTGAACAAAAATTGCTCAAAAATGAACAAATATGTTGTCGATAAAAGAAGTATATAACCTGTCAGTGTATTTGTTAATGGAATAGTATAGTTTTTTACAAAGATTTTTCGGAAAGTAACACAAGTAACTTGTATTTACAACTACATGTATATCATGTTTATAGAGTGAGAAAAATTTCACAAATTGATGTTGTTTTCAATGCTTTTCATCTTCGTTTTTTATTTGGCCTCCGTACTGTTTTGATTCTTGCGACACTGATGATTATAAGCCTGGTGTATTTAACGACTATTCTTTGTATTTAATTCAACATAAAGACATGCTGTTAATTCTCGAGAAATGATAAACAGAATAAGAGGTAATATATTCACAAATCACAAATAAATAAATGTGTATGTGAAAAAGTATTAACAAAAATACCGAATATCAATGCAAATTAAAAAAAAAAAGGGGGGAGTTCATAAAAACTGACAAAATCAACTGTTAAACTATATCAACCATTTGAACGAATGGAAAACAACTGTCATATTCCTGATTTGGTATAGGCATTTTCCGAAAGAAATGGTGAGTAAAACCTGGCTTGATAGATAGTTAAACCTCTCACTCAACATGTGTTTGTGCGTTATTGTGTGCATGCATGTTGATACGTGTTCACGTTGGTTATTGTTATCTTCAAAATATTACTTCATTTGTTGAAATGCAACCGTTGAACTACTACATGTCATAAGTTAAGCGTTTTTATATCCAAAATAAGGTCATTTGGGTACACATTACGTCTATTCGTAAGAATATTACGTAGACCTATACCCAATGCCATTTTCAGAAGTCTGGATTATAGTCCTTTAGCAGATTCCTGAAGTGTGAATATTGTTTGAATTGGATTGAATTGAATTTGTACTTGGAATTTGGTACCTGGAATTGCAAAATCTGTTGTACCTACAGGTCATCACAGGTCATCACAATGATAATGCAAATCAGATATGTTGCTGCCGTATCCTTTTAATCACAACAAATACAGACTCGAGACGATTTAGAGGCTATTATATGATGCTTTTCAATATTTAAAGACGTATGATGATTAACGATTGCTGTTTTGGTTGTCTTTGTTGCTGTCTCATTGACGTTTATCTTTGTGCCAGTGTTGGCATTAACAGAATAATCGTGTAATCTACCTTTTGATATCCAAGTTCTATCTTCTAGAGTTACGTCACTTATAACGATTGTTTACTGTGATCTCTTTGATAATTTTGATCAGTTACGTATATTTAAAAGCATATTATGGCATTTTTTTTAATTCCCACTGTTTAATTTCTTATTTCAGTGTCTTAATTTAACTGTTTACAAAACTTTAAATTTTTCGCAATACTAAGGGTTTTCTTCAATAATAATAGATTATAATTACCCAAGCTGTATTTTGCAGAATTTTTAGGAATTTTGGGTCTTCAATGCTCATCAACTTCGTATTTTATTTGTTCTTTTTAACCTTTTTTTATTCGAACGTCACCGATGAGTCTTTTGTACAAAATGTCGGTCCTTGTATCTATGATGAGTTTTTTTCAACTGGATTTACGGCGTGTTGGGGTTTCAATACCAAAAAAAAACAAAACATTTACAGTAGAGTCTTATCAATTGTGTGCTTGTGAAATCCGTTTACCATCTTCAAATTTAAAATACGTTTACCCATTCCTGAAAGTGATTATCAGTGTAACGCATATAAATTAAATCAAACAGTGCTTAAAAAGAAAAGATAGATTTTAATCTCATTTTTTCGGATATTCATTTTTTCAAGTCCTATTTTCAAAGGATGATAATTCTTCGCTTCTGTTGGATTGCTATGATTGGAATAGCTGACCTCACTATCCATATGTGCGGCGTTTGCAAATACCATGATCACATCTACAGCACGGAAAGCCAGGAGGGCATTGTCCTTTACGACACCCGCCCCTTTTTACAAGCCTGAAACAAAACAATAACTAGAAAAAATACATTCAATGAAAGATCTATAATCACTTATTTCGTTTATTGGTGAAATCAGTCTATATATGTGCAAATTACTTGAGGTATGCATCATTATTACATTGTTTGGTGGAGAAAGGTGTAATGTGCAAGTGATGATAACAATGTCTACTACTTAATTAGAATAACTAGCAACGTTTTAGAGTTTAACATACTTCTGGAGGTATATATTATTTAGTTGAAAAGACACCTACATGTACATATGTAATTTGACTTAACTTCATCAGGAACGCTGAAACCAAACTATCTGAAAGTCTGAATACCAAAATACATAAATAGTTATATGTTGAAAAGTGACCGGACAATGTTAGCAGATCTGTCTAACAAATGTATGCTTACTTACTGGATTCAGAAATATGTTCATAATTTCTAATTTATAAACATTTTAATAGTCAAAGTAATTGATGGATGCATTGTTTAACGGTCAGTTTTAAAAAGGTATATTATAAATCTTGGCAGTACAAAATCAATGATTACTTAGCTGATGACACCCTATGGAATGTATAGTCAACCAGCAACGATGTCAATGAAGTGTTATGATAATAACATTTTACATATCTAATGTGTCATCCCACTGAAAACTTTACCGTAGCCATCGACAATTTGTTGACTATAACAAAATATGTGATTCACAGATGTTGACTCATATATCCGTAACTACTATCCCTTCTGCTTTTTTTCGACCGTGACATTTTCGAATTAGATGTATCACTGGATTAGTACTAGCACGAGAAATACGACGTTTGTCACATGTATAGCAGGGTCTCCTATCCACACCTTTGATAACCCCGGGTTTCTGGTGGGGTTGGTGTTGTCTTTAGTTTCTTTGTGGTGTGTTGTATACCATTTTATTGTCGTTTGGTCAAATTTTGTTTTTTACTTTTGTTTGTTATTCCCTAAAGAGTTTGTATATACATTTGAAATCTATCACCACTTTTTTTTTTATCAAAGTCTATTTTTTGCAATTATCCTTATGGTGTGTGCATAGCGAACTACGAACTTCCAATCCATCAGAAACACTTAATTTAATCTCCGGTTTTTGTAGAGTTCGTTTTCCTCATGAGTACATTTTTGGAGTTGTTGTCTGTGCTTTTGCTTTTTTTTACCATTGTGGTATATGTCTTTCTTATAGTTGTGGTCTGTATGACCACTTGCTATCTTTTTCTCTTTTTTACATCATTTTTTGTTCATACGCAAAAATGCTATCCCAAGGTTAACTCTTGCAATTTTGAAATTAATTTGACGCTGCAACATGTGAAAGAGAGTTTCCAAAAGTGCGTCAGCATTGCGTTTCTGATTGCCAAATTAAGAGCAGGATCTGATTCTTATTAATTTGAAATAATTTTTTAGATTATAATTGATCACGCCTTTTATATTGTTAAGAAAGATGTTTTAATTAACAATAAAACTAAAACTAAAACATTACATATGTTACTTTTAGCATTACGATTTACTCGAATATTAACTCGGCTGAACTTACTTATGAATGAGGCTATTGTCTTCAAGCATTTTTTCATCCGCCATGTTGACTGGAAGTAAATATTTGTTAATATTAAATAACGTTACCGGGTAATTCATATTCAATTCATATAAGGAATAACAGTACAATTATGCATGAACGTGTGCTGCCTTTAAAAAAGTTGAGATTAAATTTAATTAATTAACCTTTACATATAAAATATTTAAATTGATATTGCATATTGATCTTTTTCTATTGTTTGATTTGGTTGTTACCTCATTTACAATTGAAAAATAATTTTATTGAAATTGACGTAGATAACAAAACCTACAAATATGATAATAAGGCTTTCATATCAGAGTAACAAATGATGTTAACGGTTAAAACAGGATAAAACAAAACTAGAAACGTTATTACAGTCAAAAGGAAAAATCAAAGAATTTCACTAGCTATTTGCTTGCAAGCATCTGTTTTCTTAATGTTTATAAAGAACTACTTAAGAGATAATTGCAGTTGAAAATGATAATCAGACGTTAAATCGAAAAGAAGTTATTATGTTTACTTACCTCCTACGGACACTAACAATAGACAGACGAAATAACAAATAGAAACCTTCATTCTTTTTTTTAGTTCTCTATAACAAATAAACACATCTTGATTATATATTTTGCTAGATAATTTGTATAAAAAAACAAGATGACAATTGCAAACGACTATAAGTAGTAATACTAAAGACCTTCGTACATGTATGCGTACAATTAAATACTTTTGTGTCTTTAATGTGGTTTCTGAAACTCAATCGCGACTATATGTTTTTTTTTTGTTTTTTTTTTTTTGGCAAGAAGTTTACTTTGCATTATTCATTATGTCCTTATATTTTGAAAAATAGATTTTGGTAACCTTAAAACTAAATGAATTCCTTTAAATCAAATCACTCTTAATATCATTTGTATATTAGTTCACTAGTTCTGCCTGTTGGAGGGCTGCTTTTTATAGTTTGAATTGCATGATACCAGTACATTGACAAAGGAAGGCGAAATAATAGTTACAAAATGTAGATAAAGTTGACGAGCAAATAGGAAATTGGTGTTTTATCTTTCATAAGCAATTGTGATAAAGTCGAATTTCGATTTTTTCGCAGACGGACAAAGCTAAAAGCATATTATCCGACAAGAACTTGTACTGAGTGCCAAATCACTAAGTCAAATGTAGTTCCATTTAACTTTTACTTTAGCAAATTTGAAGTGGTTTTTTTTTCAGATTGTTCATTTTTTAAGGTTTGAAATACTTCTGAAAAACTTCTGAAAATTGTTAAAAAAAAATATGAATACAATGACAATGTCTCAGTGTTAATTAGAAATTGTATGTAAATTTATGCTTATAATTAAGACAATAATGAATAGAAGTGACGTTGTACATTACGCATAAAGCGCAGAATCTTGTTTTGCTTAATAAAATACTACGACATTTATTTTGTTATCGCTTAAAATTTACTAAATATGCATTTAATTTTATACTTAATACGACTTAAATTGTGCTTATATGACAAAATACCGTCAGTGTTCGAAAGGCTTTGAAATAATGTGCTATTATCCTGCTTTTATAAACAACTATGACGCAATGAAATTTTTCAGCGGCAACAAACATTTACTGAAGTTTCCTGCTTGGCGGTTGTAGGTTCTTTCAAGGTTAATGTCCCAATACACGATTCATAAATTTCAATTAGTAGAATATGCACATTTCCTTCTGTATATCCTTGTTTGTTTACAAAAACAACCTTAACAATAAATTAATGTTATGTAATATGTCCAGATATAATTTATAACTACATAAATAATGAAATCATCAAAATTAAGGTAAAACTTATGTGCAACTGTACGTATTTTGTACCTATTTATCACTGATATTCATGACAATGGTTTGCACATAAGGGGATGAGAAACATACAACGGTTTGAACATAGAGGTGATATTTTGTCTGGTAAGGTGCTCACTGTGTCTGTACTCTTTGAAATGAATATAAACACTTAGCAACTAAGCGTGCTCATCTTTATTAATCAGTTTTAAAAATACTAGCAAAAGATTTTAGATATTATATGGATCCAAACAAAGAATATATTGGATATCATTATTGAAAGGTAAGTTACAGTTTTAGAAAAATGTGTTAATAAATATGCGAATAACACAGTTGTAGCCTTTCCGAATACATTTTTTATCGACCTATGAACGTATATTGACTTTTAACTGCATCCTCAGTCAATATACTTACAACGGGTTGATAAACATATCTGTCGACTTGATCAAAACACTATAATTGTGCAGGATAACTTGGAATTACATTTACTCGGTGTACTTCTTCAAATTAGTAACATGTACTGTGGTTATTACTTTGAATCACTTGTCATATTACTAGTGATTAATGGTGAATACATGTACTTATCAAACTATTTTTTATATTTTTTAAATTCAAATTTAAAAATTCAAATTTAAAGATTGATTACATTTTTGAAAAATTACCAAGTAGCATTACCTGGAATTAATAAGAATACAACTTGTTATTACTTATATCTAAATTATTAGAATTTACAAATATTGATTACATACATTGTAGAACTAATGGATTCTTGATATTTTAACGAATAACTAGTATATATTACATTTGCTAGTCATTACCAATGATTATTATCCATCATCACTTATTTTGACAAAGAGCAGCATGTAATAAGGGCCTTATTTGGGGTAATTACTTCATTTTCATTTAATATTTCAATTTGGGTCTGTTTACAATTTTAGGTAATGGAAACCTATAAACGAATAGTTTCTTGTCCAAATGACGTCAACATTTAAATGTAACGTCAAAAGAAGGGCACTACATTTTTGTGGTGAAAAATACATAGATTTTGGACATATTTACATAGTATGTGGACTTGCAAATAAAGAGCCCATGCAAACATTAATTATATAATTTGCCGAAATGTTTATCTATAAAAACAACACATTACATGTTATTATTTGTGTGAAACTTGCATGTGGCTAATATTTCGTCCTAACAAATACACGTGAAAATACGCAAATGTTATTATTTTTTGTAGCAATGTTTCCTATATTTTGACTGTAAATTCTCTGCTTATAAATACTCTTAATATTTTAAAGAAAATCAATATATATTTAAACTTTTAAAATACTTAACGATCTTTTTTTTTATCTTGAATCTCCTACTTTTGTAATAGTTCATTTTTTGTAGGCCGAAAAAGGGCCCTTAGCACACCTTCTGCTTTAATTACTAGATTGCAAATTGAATTACTTCTAATGTAATTCAAATTGATTTTTGTACCGAAATCTGTGAAAAGCTAGATTCATCAGAAAAGTACTAAGCATGAACAACAATTAATAAACTTTCAAATAAATAAACCATGTATTGGAGACAAAACTACCACTCAGTACAACTCCTACTGGGTTAGAGTACATACGCTTTCAAGGACAAGACTCATTAGACGAATACTAACTGGCAAACGACGCAAAGATCACTTTCAATTAATGAATAAATCATTGTGTCCCCGACTAAACAAGCAATCAGTACAACTCCAACGCATTTTGAATAAAACGTCATCAGTAGCAGGACTTTACTACTAATAACTAAATAGCAATGTATGTTTAGTAACCTTTGTATCTATGAAACAATTAAGTCAAGGATTTAAATAATTAAATTTTACTGTACTTTCATCCTCGACATAATAATATATCAGTTATGCATAGATTTAGTTCATTCAAAGTGACAATAAGAAACGAATATTATATTGTTATAATTCTGGCATGTTCGTATTTGGTTCCTCGAATCCCAGTTTGATATTGATATCTCGCACTCGGGTAAAATTCGTGTCCAACTATGGTACGTTTGACATGATATCACCTTTTTAGAAAACAACATTATTTATTTATCGCCTTTGTGTTCCTGGTGGTTTGCAATTCAAGATGTTCCTCACAAATGTTGAAGATGATCGAAATCATCTTGTTTTAACTTTTTAACCCATTATTGTCATCGTTGAGGTTTAGCCCAAACAAATTTAGTCAATTAAGCGAAATAGCTGTATACAATGATTGTTTAAGGGCATACGATACAGTTACAGGGGAGGTAATAACGTTGCTAACATAAAATGTTCTTTTCGCGACGTCAAATTGTGATATATCGGGAAAAGATGCATTTTTCGACTGCTTTTTATGATTTAAACTGATTTAACTTGAAAACGAGTACATGTACCCCTCTCTTTTTAAATGGCATTAGGTTTGGTTACGTATGGAGATTATTTGTACCAATTTTAATGAAAAGTCAACGATGATTTTTTTTTAAATTTGGTAAATATACCGCAAAAATGCCGTTTTTTTCCCTAAAATCCTGAAACTTTGTTAAAAATTAATTATGTTCAAAGAATTGTTATACATATTAAGAGCATATTTATGTAATAAAGATTTTCATAATGCTTTTACAAAAATACGCTTGTGTTTATCTGTTGAAATAAAAAAAATAGGTGTTTCTATCCAAAGGATAGAAATGTCCAAAAAACCGCAATTGTGAAAAAATGTCTAAAATTTCGACCCCTTTTATCTCTTAAAGTAGCACATCAAGGTATATTTTTTATTACTTATTTGAATTGCTTAGGTGAAAAATAGCTTGTATGCAAATTTTCGTGACAAATTCATCGTGGGATCGAAACTGTATCGTATGCCCTTAAGCATGGAAATGTTTAGGAGGTTCGTTTCAGGAAACAATGCAGTACAAACACACAACAACATATATATTAAGATAGTCATCTGAATACAGATAACAGATTATATAATTATATGATAAATCCAAATATAAAAACAGTAGAAATGCCATTTTTTTTTCAAATTGAGCCAAGTAAATCAATGTATTTAGCGACAACAGATAAAACTTGTTAGAAAAAGTAATGTGAAGTAAGTGTCAATTACAAACTGGCACAATAAATCACCACACATCTGGTAGTCAATGTACGGGTTTTCATCCTTAGAATTTTTTCTCAACATTGAAATGACATGTTGCAAGTGGAACTATATTACCAGGGTCTTTATTCAGTCATAAAATTGTCAAAAATGTATTGATACTGCTCGAAGTACACAAAAGATGAGTAAAAAATCAACATACGGAAAATCAAAAAGATTAAGAAAATTCAGAAAGGACAAAGACAATACCATTAACCAAAGAAAAAATATTAAAAACACAGATTGCACTAAAAAACTAAAGCTAAAGCTAAACAACACTTCGAAATCAACAGCAATATCGGTCCTTTATCTGCGTTTGATAAATACCATTCCGTAATTGTGTTGTTTAGTGATCAAACAAATTGGTTTTTGTATTTGTAATGATAATAAGTTGTCTTATTTAGACAATGTGTCTATCAACATTTTTACTGCTGCATTATTTTTCAAACAAACGTTCTTTTCTTTGCAAATCCTTCATACTCAAATTTTGGAATCAGATTGTATACAATTTCGAAAATGCTGGGCTGTATAATTCAGGTTTTGGTTTATAAGCTTTTAGAAATACTATTTTGATTAAGTCATAACCTAACAATGCAAAAATTCAACTTCAAATTTACTCTAAATGTTTCTGCCTTTA